CCCAGCCCCCCCCAGACCCCTCGTGCCCCACACGGGACCCCCCCCAAACCCCCCAAAACCCCCACCTTGACCCCCCGGATGCGGAACTCGGCCAGGGCCCGGCTCATCTTGGCTGCGGCCGCCGGCTGGTCCGGCCCGTGGGCCACCACCTTCACCAGCAGCGAGTCGTAGTGCGGCGAGATCAGAGCGCCCTGGAACGCCGAGGCCCCGTCCAGGCGGATCCCCATCCCCTCCCCGGAGCGGAACACCTGCACCGAGACACCCCGACATGCTACAGACACCCCAACACCCTGAAAACAGCCCAAAACCCTAAAAACAGCCCAAAACCCTACAGACAGCCTGATCCTAGAGACACCCCGACATCCTACAGACACCCCGGCATCCTAGAGACACCCCGACATCCTACAGACACCCCGACATGCTACAGACACCCCGACATCCTAGAGACCCTACAGACACCCCGACATCCTAGAGACACCCCGACATCCTACAGACACCCCGACATGCTACAGACACCCTGACATCCTAGAGACACCCCAAAACCCTACAGACCCTACAGACACCCTGATATCCTAGAGAGACTTATGCTATAGACACCCCGACATCCTACAGACACCCCAACACCCTACAGACAGCCCAAAACCCTAGACAGCCTGATCCTAGAGACACCCCGACATGCTACAGACACCCCGACATCCTAGAGACACCCCGACATCCTACAGACACCCCAAAACCCTACAGACCCTACAGACACCCCGATATCCTACAGACACCCTGACATCCTAGAGACACCCTGACATCCTACAGACACCCCGACATCCTAGAGACACCCCAAAACCCTACAGACAGCCCAAAACCCTAAAAAACGGCCCAAAACCCTGTAGACACCCCAACACCCTACAGACACCCCGACATCCTAGAGACACCCCGAGACCAGGAGACCACGGGGGCCCATGGGTGGGGTCCCAGGATGGATCCATGGGAGGGGTCCTGGGGGTCCCAGGGAGGGGTCCCAGGGAGGGGTCCCAGGATGGATCCACGGGCAGGGGGTCCCAAGACGGATCCATGGGATGGATCCATGGGATGGATCCATGGGAGGGGTCCCGGGGGTCCATGGGAGGGGTCCATGGGAGGGGTCCCAGGGGTCCTGGGGGTCCTGGGGAGGGGTCCCAGGGAGGGGTCCCGGGGGTCCCAGGGGTCCATGGGCAGGGGGTCCCAGGGGTCCCGCACCTCGATGCGGCCGGTGTCGGGCTGGAAGCCGCGCGCGGGGTCCTCGGTGGTGACGCGGCACTGGATGGCGCAGCCGTTGACGCGGATCCGCTCCTGCTCCAGCCCCAGCTCCGGCAGAGAGCGACCCGCGGCCACCTGCAGCTGGGCGTGCACCAGGTCCACACTGCCACGGGGACAGGGACACGGGGACAGTCAGGGACACGGGGACAGCA